CCTCCGCCGCCTCCCACTACCCCGACGGACGCGCTGGCGTCACGCCGCCGGGTCACCTGCTCCCGCCCGGGCCAATCGGGGAGGGGCTCTCGGTGACGTCACATCGGCGGGGGAGAGGGGCTGGGGGAAGGCGAGGGGAGCGGGCCTGTCCCTGTGCCTCTCCCTGTCCCTGTCCCAGTCCCTGTCCCTCTCCCTGTCCCCGGCAGTGGCGCCATTCCAGTGCCCGGCCGCATCCCTGTCCACATCGCTGTCCCAGCCACTGTCCCTTCCCTGTCCCCATCCCCTTCCCTCAGTCCCCATCCCTGTCCCCTTCCCTGTCCCCATCCCAGCCACTGTCCCTCTCTCTGTCTCCATCCAGTCCCCATCCCAGCCCCCGTTCCTGTCCCAGTGCCTGACCCCATTCCTATCCCACTCCCTGTCTCCATCCTCATCCCTGTACCCATCTCTATCCCCATCCCTATCCATGTTCCTCTCCGCACCTGCTGTCCATGTCCCCGTCCCCTTCTCTGTCTCAGTCCCCACTTCTGTCCCCTTCCCAGTCCCTGTCTCAGTCCCAGTTCCTGTCCCAGTGCCTGTCCCCATGCCTGTCCCAGTCCCTGTCTCCATCCTCAGTCCTGTCCCCATCCCCTTCTCTGTCTCAGTCCCCATCCCAGTCCCCGTTCCAGTCACTGTCCCTATTCCAGACCCAGTCCCCGTTCCTCTCCCCATCTCCATCCCAGTCTCAGTCCCCGTCTTCATCCCAGTCCCTGTCACAGTCCCTGTCACCGTCTCCTTCCCTGTCCCCATCCCTTCTCTGTCTCAGTCCCCACCTCTGTCCCCTTCCCAGTCCCAGTTCCTGTCCCAGTGCCTGTCCCCATCCCCATCCCAGCCCATGTCCATCCTCATCCCTGTCCCCATCTCCATCCTTGTCCCTATCCCTGTACCTATCCTTATCCCTGTCCCCATCTCCATCCCTATCTCTGTCCCTGTACCTCTCCTCACCCGCTGTCCCTGTCCCCATCCCCTTCTCTGTCTCAGTCCCCATGCCTGTCCCCTTCCCTGTCACAGAATCACAGAATCTTCTAGGTTGGAAGGGACCTTAACGATCATCTTGTCCAACCGTCAACCTAACTGACAAAACTAGACACCCGCACAACAAACAAGAAGCATCACCATCACTAAACCATACCTCCCAGCACTACATCAACCCGTCTTTTGAACACCTCCAGGGATGGTGCCTCAACCACCTCCCTGGGCAGCCCATTCCAATGTCTGATAACCCTTTCAGTGAAAAAATTTTTCCCAATATCCAGCCTGAACCGCCCCTGGCGTAACTTGAGGCCATTTCCTCTCGTCCTGTCCCCTGTGACTTGAGAGAAGAGACCGACCCCCACCTCTACACCCTCCTTTCAGGTAGTTGTAGAGAGCAATAAGGTCTCCCGTCAGCCTCCTTTTCTCCAGGCTGAATAACCCCAGCTCCCTCAGCCTCTCCTCATCAGACTTGTGCTCCAGACCCCTCACCATCTTATGTCCCCATCCCTATTCCAGTCCCAGTCCCTGTCCTTCTCCCTGTCTCCATCCCAGTCCCTGTCTCCATCTCCATCCCTGTCCCTCTCCCCACCCGCTGTCCCTGTCCCCATCCCCGGAGCCTCCTCTCCCCCTGGTCACAGTGACACATGCCGGGGCTGGGGAAGGTGTCCCTGTCACCCGGAGGGGACATTTCCCCCCCTTTGCGCCTCAGCCCCTTCCAATGGCCGCCCCCACAGCTTCCCTCCTCCCCTGGAAGGGACAGTCTCCCCCAGGCACGTGCGTTTTTCGTCCTTTGGAGAGGCCTTTGGCCCAAAATGGCAGGGTTTTGTCCAAAACGGGGGTGGCAGTTGTGAGGGAGAAGGCGGAAGGACGGGGGTAAATCGCGGGTGAATCACGGCTGGAAACCGCCAAAGCAGAGTTGTCCCGTGGGGCTTTCATCCTCCTGGATGAGCCCGCGAGGTTTGGGTGGTTTTTTTTGTTTTTCTTTTTCTTCTTCAACCCCCGGTTTGGGCTTTTCACAGCGCTCTTGTCCCGGAGGCTTTGCCATGAGGAGCCTGCGGGCAGTCCTCCCCGCCGCCAGGGGTCGCTATCACCCCCTCCCCCACAGCGCAGAGGCCCGGCCTCCTCTGGTTGCTAGGAAACGTGGGGCGGAGGGAGACGCCGTAAAGGTGCGACGCGACTGTCGTGAAAAAAAAAAGAGGAAAAAAAAAATGTCGTGAAGCGCGGTCGGCGGGGCCTGCGGCGGAGAGAGTGACCGGGCCCGGCTCCCCGCACTTATATGCCCCGTCCCCCGGCGGCCGCCTCCCCCTCCTGCTCCATGTGGGGCCCGGGCCGGGCTCTCGGCCTCTCCTCCTCCTCCTCTTCCTTCTCCTTCTTCTACTATGGCCCGGAAAACAGTTAGCAGGAAGCGGAAAGCGGCGGCCGCCGCCGCCGCGGGGCCCGGGGGGCTCCAGGGGGAGCAGGTAGGCCGGGGGCGGGTGTGTGGGGGTGTGTGTGTGTGACTGGAGTGTGGCGGGGGGGGAAAATGCTTATTCCCGTCAGGGCGGAAGGGG